GCAACTGTGTCCCGCGTTGGGCGCCAATATTCTAATATTCCCTTTCTCCTTTTTTTAAAGCGTTGCCCTACACTAGATTTTTCTCCTGTCTCATGGATGCTGTTACAAACATACAATTTCACATACACACGACACCCAGACCAGGAACAACAATTTGTGGATCACACAATGAATTGTCAGGGTCAGGTCAGGGTAACGGCGGGACACGGGGTGCTAAGAATCCCCGGAGGTGGAGAAAAGGCTACCACCCCCGACGACGACTGGCCCTGGTAACACACAATGTTCGCACTTTGAGGACAGACGAGAAGATTATTGAGCTGGAAGAGGCATTGGGTAGGTTGCACTGGAGTATTGTGGGGTTGTCAGAAGTCCGACGAGAGGGCGAGGACACGATAACCCTAAGATCCGGCAACCTATTCTACTACCGGGAGGGCGAACAACTGTCCCAAGGTGGTGTCGGGTTCCTCGTCCACAGGTCCCTCGTGAACAGCATTCTTACCATCGAAAGTGTGTCGAGCAGGGTGGCGTACCTGATACTCAGGGTATCCAATAGATACTCGTTGAAGGTTATCCAGGTTTATGCACCGACCTCGACACACCCAGACGAGGAAGTAGAGGTTATGTATGAGGACATAAGTAGGGCCATACATACTAATAAAACCTACTTCAATGTCGTTATGGGGGACTTCAACGCGAAACTGGGAACTCGAGGCGATAACGAGCTGAGAGTGGGGCAATTCGGGTATGGGCAACGGAACCACAGGGGACAGAGACTGGCTGAGTTCCTGGAGAAGGAGGACCTCTTTGCGATGAACTCCTTTTTCCAGAAGCCGTCTCACAGGAAATGGACCTGGATGAGCCCGGACGGTTCCACAAAAAATGAGATCGACTTCATCATGACAACAAAGCGACAGATGTTCAATGATGTCTCTGTGATCCATAAAGTAAAAACCGGCAGCGATCACCGACTGGTCAGAGGCACATTGAATATCAATATAAAGCTGGAAAGATCACGTCTGATGAAGTCTACGCTCCGACCTTCAAATGCACATATCGGTTGTCCCGAGAGCTTTCAGATCGAGCTATCGAATCGTTTTGAGTCCCTGGAGAATTGCGAGTCAGTGGACGAGATTAGCAACAGGTTTGTAGAAACTGTCCATGCGGTCGGGTCGAAGTTTTTTAGACCCCGCCGAAAAGACAGACCGCAGAAGCTTACCGATCGCACCCTCAAACTCATGGCAGAACGACGTGCTATGGTACTCCAGACCTCTGCCGATGCTAAAGCACATCGGCAGCTCAATAGACAAATATGGAAGTCCATGCGACACGATATCCGCAACTTTAACGCCAATAGGGTTAAAGAAGCGATAGAGCGGAACCAAGGCTCCAAAGTGTTCGCTAGGGACATGTCTATTGGGCAAACACAGCTGACGAAGCTGAAGGCGGAGGATGGCAGTGTGGCGTCGACAAAGGCCGAAGTTTTGGGTGAGATCGAGAGGTTTTATGGACAGCTATACACATCGGTCACTAGACCTGTTAGCTCAGTCGCCGATCCAAGAGCTAAACTCACCCGACACTATACCGAGGATATCCCGGACATCAGCCTATACGAGATTAGGATGGCCCTCAAGCAGCTCAAGAACAACAAGGCGCCGGGCGAGGACGGAATCACATCAGAGCTTCTGAAAGCGGGCGGAACGCCGGTACTGAGAGTCCTTCAGAAGCTCTTCAACTCCGTCATATTCGAAGGAGCAACGCCGGCGGCATGGAGCAGAAGTGTGGTGGTACTATTCTTCAAGAAGGGAGATAACACTCTACTGAAAAATTATAGACCCATCTCACTTCTGAGCCATGTCTACAAGTTATTCTCGAGGGTCATCACAAATCGTCTCACACGTAGGTTCGATGACTTCCAGCCTCCCGAACAAGCCGGTTTCCGGAAAGGCTATAGTACCATAGACCACATCCATACGCTGCGGCAAGTTATACAGAAGACCGAGGAGTATAACTTGCCTCTATGCTTGGCGTTTGTGGACTATGAGAAGGCTTTTGATTCGATCGAGACTTGGGCTGTGTTAAGATCTCTCCAGCGGTGCCATATTGACTTTCGGTACATCGAGGTTTTGAAGTGCTTATACACAAACGCCACTATGTCGGTCCAAGTACAAAACCAGAGCACTAAGAATATTCCTCTGCAGCGAGGTGTAAGGCAAGGAGACGTCATATCTCCGAAACTGTTTACCGCTGCATTGGAAGACGCTTTCAAGCTCTTGGAATGGAAAGGATCTGGCATCAACATCAACGGCGAGTACATCACTCACCTCCGGTTTGCCGACGACATTGTAGTCATGGCAGAATCGCTGGAGGATCTGAGCACAATGCTCGATGACCTCTGTAGAGTTTCTCAACAGGTAGGGCTCCGAATGAACATGGACAAGACGAAAGTCATGGCAAACGCCCATGTAACGCCCTATCCGATATCAGTTGGGAGTTCTAACCTCGAAATTGTTGACGAATATGTATACCTGGGACAAGTGATCCAGCTAGGTAGGTCCAATTTCGAGAAGGAGGTCAATCGTCGAATCCAACTTGGATGGGCAGCGTTCGGGAAACTACGCAACATCTTCTCGTCCAACTTACCTCAGTGCCTTAAGACGAAAGTCTATAATCAATGTGTGTTACCAGCGATGACCTATGGAACTGAAACGTGGTCTCTTACTGTGGGCCTTATAAAGAAGCTCAAGGTCGCTCAGCGCGCTATGGAGAGGGCTATGCTCGGAGTTTCTTTGCGAGACCGTATAAAAAACGAGGATGTCCGCAAACGAACAAAGGTTTCCGACATAGCCCAGCGGATTAGTAAGTTGAAGTGGCAATGGGCAGGGCACATAGCGCGTAGAACCGACGGCCGCTGGGGCAGAAAGGTTCTCGAGTGGAGGCCACGTACCGGCAAGCGCAGCGTGGGACGTCCACCCGCAAGGTGGACAGACGACCTGATTAAGGTCGCAGGAAGCCGCTGGATGCAGGTCGCTTCCAACCGGCCTATCTGGAAGTCAATGGGGGAGGCCTATGTTCAGCAGTGGACGTCCTGTGGCTGATATGATGATATGATGATGACAATGAATTGTTCCGTGCGAGAATCGAACCCGCGACACGTTGCACGGCAGCCAGTTGCCCAGCCACCAACCGTGCAGAATATTAATTTAGTGGTGCAACAATTTTAAATCACATAAGGACGTACGAAATATGTTTAAAATCTTACACCTATTCTGTGGGTAACTATTCCGTTTCCATTGTCTACCAGTAAGAATTCCATTGCATTTCTTTCTAACACATAGGTATATTCATTAAATTTTTACTTTAACTAACTAGAAAATCTATTATGAAAAATATTATCAGATTGACTGCTAGCCACGGTATAATCTCGCTTTCAAAATAAGAAGTAAAAAGCTGTGAAGAAAACTTATTTTCTAAGTTTCCTTGATTTTATTTCTTTGCCAGATACAAGACAGCCATGTCCAACAGTGAAACAATGAATTTATTTTTGCAAATAGGCCATAAAACGGAACTTTTACACGTCAATTTATATGTGAAAAACTAGGTGAAGCAACGCATTCGTAACTCCGGTGTTGCGTGTGTCCATGGGCGGCGCCGATTGCTTACCATTAGGTAATCCGCCAGCTCGTTTGCCGACCTATTTCATTAAAAAAAAACACTCCTTCACTTTCGGCTTTTTCGTGGTTGCATCCACAGGTTGTATCAACTAGATCTTTACTTACAAGTTACAGCAATTTTGGGAGGGTATGGCGGATGCATCCCATGAATCATGAATTGGTCGGCTCGACCGGAGTGATACCACGCATCACAGAATACCGGCGTGAAATAAGCGAACCAAAGCGCTGTTTCCGCGTGTGAGTGAGCCTCCCCCTGCCCCCATCACTTCTAAACCCTTATCCACAAAAAGCTGACAATGCACTCGGAAATCCTTTGGTGTTGCAAGTGTCCATGAGCGGCCGATTGCTTACCATCAGGTCAATTGCCCCTTTACCGACCGTAAAAAAATGTTATACTCCTGCTCGAAATAAAACAGTGATACTTTTTCTTTTTTTTTTTTATTAAAACACAGACATTCGAAATATATGCTCTATTGTCACACATCACATGTCCTACCACATCTATACACAAATATAATAATTTCTTTACATTAAAATCTCCACAATACTTTAATAACAATAGGTACATTTCATTTCCTATCAATAAAACGAGTTCATAAAATATCTTTAAATGCATATACATATATAAAAATTAAAACTAACACCTTTTTATAACATTCGTAAGATAAACAAATATACACGCTGTTCATAGTTTCAATTACGTAACTGTTCGGGCGACCTCGAAAGGAATCGGGGCGACCTCGAAAGGAATCGGGCCGACCCAAAAAAGAAATTAGAGCTAAAAACACGAATAGAATATATTGTAGTGGTTATTTTAATATTAGTTTGATTCGAATGTTTAAAATCCTTACCCTGCTTCAAAAATAAAATTGAATAAAAATGCACCAATTAATCTTAGCTGATAGCTGAGAACCTATTTGGTGCGTGCAATGAGATTGTCTTTTAGAATTTATTTATTTACGTTACTTTTCCTAATGTTCATTTATTTCAATTTATATGCAATGGCACTCATGATTAACGTTAGAACAAGGTTGAAAATATATCGAACGTGATCGCCTAAAAACTTTAAAACAAAAAAAAGAACGCAATAAAAGTTTAAAAAATAATAAATTATCAACGATAATTTTATTATTATTATCAGTCACCGAATCATAAGAACAGAGATATATAACTTAACCTGTTTTCTTGATAAATTGACGAGTATTTTATAAATAAAAAACAGTAGAAACTACATAACATTGAAAAACAAGTTTAAAGTTGAAGACAATTGAGATTATTTTAGCTTGCACTGTTAATTTGCCTGGTCAATGTGTTACACAGATAAAAAATAAACTGAAAAGAACAGAAAACATATTTAAATCATTTATTTAAAAACAACTACTGGATTAAACAGGAAATTTAAAATATACTTAGTAGACACAACACAGTCATTTGCTATAGTTTTAAACAATTCGGAGAATTTCGATGCCGACGGTGCCTTGGCGCGGACTGTACCTTGAGCTTCTTTACATTCTAGACAATTTATCTCATATCCTTTTATATTTATGTCCTTAGTGCCAATGTTATAAGGTGCATTTTCGTTTGAGAGCACGCCTTTGAATCGGATCTTGTCGTAAGTGCGTAACATTCTTGTGAAGTTGCTAAAGCCGTGATCGAAGACTATGGATATTTCTGTATGATGTTTTAGTATACCACCGCTAGCCTCCATCACTAGTCTTATTTCATATGTGTATCTGTGGAAAAACGAACCTTATTATAAAGGTGTTATTTTTGTTTGGAAATTAATTTGGAATGACACCGTACTTTAAACGCGTTCGAAAAGTCCTATAGGATTTTTCTTTTTAATTTTAGCATATAAACAGGGACATTTCAAGGACCCGATTCTGGTTCTCAAATAAAATAACTTTTTCCATAAGACAATTACTTATGGAAATTCCAAAAACAAATTAACTTCTCCGTGCAAAATGATCAATCAGCTATTGCGATTTGTATGGGGAAATCAATTTATTTTTGAGTTTTCGATATTGGTCCCATGAAAAAACATGTTATACTTGAGCACCAGAATCGGATCCTGGATGTCCTTTGTTCAAAGTAACACCCGGTACATATGCTAAAATTAAAAAGAAACATCCCTATAGAAGTTTTCAAATGGATCTAACCTACGGTGTTATTCCTAATTATTTTAAAAAACAGAAGAAAATATATGGATGTCTCTAGTTGCAACTATACATTTTCTTCTGTTTTTCGAAGTCACGTGGACTTCCACGTGACTTCTTGACATACAAAAAGAAGACTTCACAAAAAAAATAGAATCCTACATTGGATATCAGTAATTGGGTAGTTTCCTAAGTCAAAAATAAATAAATTTGACGTTTAAATACAATAAAATATTGAAACATAACTATACTTTTATTCATCGATCGATTGATACACTAAATTTTAGATATTTTTTAGCAAATTTTTAAGAAATAAGTAAGCCATTTGAAGCAAAAGTTCCATGACGTCATCACTAAGTTTTTCTATAGAAATTTCATAGAAAAATATCGTTTTTGACATTTGAATAAAAGTATTGAATTTGACTAGTTGGAAACTACCAAATCTATTAGATTAAAAGTAATTAAGTGAAAAAAGTAACTCACTCGTTCAAATTATTTAAATGGCAGCTCTTCCCACTTTGGCTCGCAACGCTTCTAACAAACTCGCATTCTTTAGCCGATTGCAAACCCTCCTCCTCTTGGCATAAAGTCGAATATTCTTCACCGTAGTAGCACCTAAAGTATTCTTGAAGGAAGCCAGGCAACCATGATGCGAAGTCACGCCATCGGTTCTTGACACTTTTGAGTTGAACATCTTTGACATAACCCTCCCAATTTACGTTGGCACCGTCTAGTATGGAACACTTGATTTGTGTGGCAGCCGTATTATAATCCGTCCAAGATGGGATGTTACATTGGTTATAGTAGTCGTCCCAATTGATATGATAAGTATTATCTTCATAGTCAGTGATAAATTCATTTTTAAGTAAGTTCTTGATACTTGTTTTCTCTTCGCTTATTAATTCGATGAGGCTGGATGGTAGGCCGTCGTCTTGTAGGTTCATTACGAATTGGTTGCCTAAGTAGAGTAGGGTTATAAGGCCGATAATAAGCTGTGGATAAAAATATGAAAATGAATAAGTACATAGTTAGGAGAACAACTAAGTGTAGGAGAGCCATGCTTCGGCACGAATGGGTCGGTTCAACCGGAGTTATAACACGGCCTCACAGAAAACCTTCGTGAAACAACCACAGCGTCGTGTTTCGCCGTGTGAGTGAGATTAACAGAAGCTCAATCCTTCCCGTCCCCTAATCCCTAAATTTCCAAAACCCTAATCCCCAAAAGGTCGGCAACGCACTCGTAACTCCTCCATTGTTGCTGATGTCCATGGGTGGTGCAGATAGCTTACCAGGCAATCCGTCTGCTCGTATCATATAAAAAAAACTAAAAATATTTTTTAATAATCACAGAGAACCGATTTATTACCATCGCCAACAATTTTTTAGCCTCTAGACAGATTTATTCAACCGAAATCACTTTCTTACAAATCTATGACATGTTTACACTGAACCTGACTTCGGTATGATTGTGTCGAATGACGTCGGTCAATGAGCTATTGTCAATCTCGTATTTATAGTGAAACGGAGAAGTTGAATACAAAATAATAGTATAATAAATATTAGTATACAATAATAATAATTACAAAGAATATAGTGTCAGCACGCATTCTGTTTCAATCTGAATAAATTTTCCAGTCGACGTTTTTATGTAATAGGATGGCAAACGAGCTTACGGAGATTAGCTGACGGTAAGCAATTAGCGCCATCCATGGACACCCGCATCAACGGAAGAGTTACGTTAGAGTGCGTTGCCGACCTTTTGGGGATTGTGGTTTTTGAGACTTGGGACCTTGAGGGGTGGGGAGAAGAGGACAGATTGGGCCTTTGGTAACCTCATTTTGGTGTTGCGGATGTACATGGGCGGTGCCGATTGCTTACCATCAGGTAATACGTCAGATCGTTTGCAGATCTATCACATAAAACGGGTATGAATTTAAGTTTAAAATTTTAATCATAGTTTATTGTTTCTGCTTTTTTTTGCACCTACTAACACCTTTCAACGCCCAAAGATTAATGAGTTGAGAATTAAGAAGAATTAAGTGAGAATGCTTATGGTATTAAGTCCGCTTACGTAATATTTCGTAGCAAAAAAATCAAAACAAAAGAAAAATGCTGCGTATATTTAAAAAATAAATTAACCCACCTGGAAAGGGGTAACAAACTTCTTAGTAGTTTCAGACTTGGCCAGAAGACAGGTCACCCCTAGACTTAACGCGAAACCGACCACAACAGACACCGTGTATAGTACTCGAGACATCGTTATATATTGAAGGAACGCGAATATAGGCAACGTCACCGTCACTACACCAATCAGAGGCAAGAACAAGAACGAACAGACCAATGCCAGCGTGCCACGTATCAACCCATACGTAGTACAACCGTGAGAACATGTTATAAACATCTGCAACCAACTCAAAGTGACGCAATGAGGCAACGCGTACTTAAAGAAACCCTGCCAACCACTCCTCCTAGCCATACCTAACAAAATAACAGGAATCAACAAAGAAAAAAACACCCGAGCGTTCAAACAAAACTCGATGCTATTCCCCAGTATGTAAGACGGATAATTCGATACCTGCAAGTCGAGAAACCTCCAACCTTGATGAACTACAGTGTCTTTTTCGTACGGGTACTTTGCTAACACATTGATACCGAATGATAGGAAGGCTAGGAGATCTGGATACGGACTGCCGCCTTGAATCGAAGTTCCAAACGAAATCAACGTAAGGAACATTAGAAAGAAGGACAACACACAGAATTCGGAAAAGGGTACCCATTGGGTCGCTATAAAGGGATACAGAAATAGGTTAATGAAAAGTGCAGAAAAGAATTGAATAAAAGGACCGAGATTGTTCCGAACAAACAGATTTTCCGACTCGTCCGGTTGCAAATTGCCATCGCTGTACCTAAGAAACAGTCCTGACCATTTTCTGAAGTCTATAAATTGTCTTTTAGCGTGTAACATTTTGAATGTACAGATGACCATAGCGACGAAACTGGCGTAGTACATAGCTAGGGGAACTAAGTGATAGAGGCTATCCGTACTGACGGATAAGTACGCTATGAGTAACAAGGATAGTTCAACATTTGACAGTCTAAAATTAAAACTTCCGAAATAATATAGCAACTTGAGATATAAGACTTGTAAAAAGACGATGGGGTGTAAGAATGCTTGGTGTAGTAACGGTATGTGGTCTAAGGCTTTAAGACTAGGGTCTGTTAGGGTCAGTTCATAGCTGACTAATGGGAGTTCCCCCTGGCAGTAGTCGACGGCAGCCGATACCAAGTTATCGACTGTTAGGTTACGTATTTCTTCATTGGGCACGCATCTTTCAGGGCATTCTGAAATGAGAAATAGAAAAATATTACACTTCCATTATAAAGTCAAATAAATTATTTTAACACATCTAATGAAAGAGACGTTCATGGTGGAACGGTGATCAAGGGACCAAGGCTTCTCATGCATAAGGGTGTTGTAAGTTGGAAACCTGGCAAGTATTTAAACACCACTGATATACGATGAAGAAAAACATCGTAAGGAAACTTCGACTAAGAAAGTTTAAATTCGTCAATTCACCTTGAGCTGTTCACCAATGCTCAAACCTTCTCCATGTGAGAAGATGCCTTTACTCAGACATCCACTAGGCTAATAATGATGATGATGAATGAAAAAGAAATATTTTAAAACTAGTAAGTAACAGTAAAAATGTAATGATTATGTTTTCTACATTTAATTTTGGACTTAGGAAACTACTGTATTAAGTACAAAAATGGTGTTTTACCTTGTTCAGGTAGGTCGGCGGTTCGCATAGTGCCATTGCTATGTATCTGGTCGCCTGCCTGCAAGTTGGACGGCTGCAAGGCCTGCCCGCCGTCCAGAGCTCGCGCTTCTTCTGAAAAAATAACAAGCGATGGAATACTTACGCACTGTCTACGCTACACTGTCTTTCGTCCCATGCAAGACAGGAGAATAGGTTAAATAATGACCTCTTTTCAAAAAATTAATTTATGTATTTTTTTTGTGTAGGGAAAATCGTCAAATGACCTTTCCCGCCCAGGGTAGGGCGGGAGAGAGTGTCAGACTCTTACTGACTAAACCCCTGCCCCCGTTTCTTCTGCTGCTCTGGGCAGAGGTCGCGGTGACTCATTGCACCTATCCCGCAACCAACCAGCTTCCCAGTTCCTTTCGGTCCGCACCATTGCCTCGACTAAGTACGGGCGCGAGTTGTTGACGCCGCCGATCACTTCCCTAAGGGCACGGCGGTGCTCAGCCCAACAGCCCAAGCAGGGCACACTGCCACCGTATGCTCCACCGTGTCCTCTAGGTGGCCTTTACAATGACGACACTCGGGCGTTGCCTCCCGCCGGATCGGAAACAGGAACCTACCAAAGCTGCCGTGCCCAGTAAGCGCCTGCGTCAGGCGGAAGGTGAGGACGCCGTGGCATCTCTCAAGCAACTCCTCAAAGAGGGGTTTTACAACTAACAGCCTGCCCGAAGAAAAAATGGGGGTTCCATACCTGGTGAATCATCATCGGGTGTGTCACTGTCTTCTGTTTCTTTTCGAAGCGTGGTATTACATATCTCGCGGATACGGCGTTCCAACTGTGCCGTAGTTATGTACTGCTCGCCGTTGGATAGGCTGTTAAATAAAAATAGCATTTTTATATTATATTTTGATTTAGATAAGGCATTAAATTTAAATAATATTTACATCTAACTTACGTTTCGAGGATGACCGATAAGTTTCAAACTAGAACAGGGATCAATAGAAAGCATAGTCAAGCAGTCAACTTCCCGAAACAAATGCATTTGTGGAAAAAATACGGCAGCGCTCGATTTTTGTTTATCGGACAAAAGGGACTCAACGGTACCTAAATTATCATTATTTGAACACCTAACAATTTTAGCCCTAGTAAAGTAGCTACTAAAAAGTTTAAATGAGAATGTGTACGCAAAAAATATATAATTATGTACAAGCGGTCGCCCGCAACTCCGCCCGCGTGGATGTATATTTTCCACTTTCTTGTTTTTTTTTCTCTACGTACAAACCTTCTCTGGACTTAGACGAACAATTCAAGACCAAAACTAGGTAGTAGATAATCGGTAAAGGCATTCTTGAGTTATAACATTACAACGAAAAGTGGCATTAAATTTTATATATATACATTACCTAGCGAAGAGGTCTCTGGCAGCTTTCCTCGCGACCGTCTCCTGACGACTGGCTGCCAGGCAAGACTTCGCACGAATTATAGCCGCGCTGTCCTCGTCTATCACACCGCTCCGAATACACCTAACAAGGACAAACATAGTTCTGTTAGTTATAACGAAAATGCGTTGGGTATTGTAAGAATCCATAATGGGACTACATATTATACGTTATTCTATTTCGACATGTTCTTTTCTAAAATTTTACAGAATTTGGCAACAGCATTCTGTTTTAAACCTGACGCTTTATACCTTTCCTCCACTTTTCTTACTTCAGTTACGCCGTGCGTAGAAAACAAAAAATACATCCTCGGCCCTTAAAATTCGCATACAAAGCCGTAAATAGAAAAACACTGAACTAAGAACTTTAAATGATTCGTCTTACAGAAAACAAAACGTTGTTCAACTCTAAGACAAACAGATATATTGAAGTCTCCAATTGTCTAAAGGAGGAAAAAGGTCATTTTTTTACACCGTAGAGCAAAAGAAATCCAATTTTTAACAGAAGAAAGTCCAATTTTAGAAGTATAAAACATTACCACAAGGATTCATTAACTCTCACTTCCAACAAGCTATAAAATAGAAGTTTTTAAAGAAGAAACGTTTACTAGCAACAGAAGAACATTTTTCTTACAGTTCACCAACACACCTAGTAATTTAATAAGAATCACGGTACCAAGTTAGTACCTATCTGCGAATATTTTAGAACAAAAATCTTACATAGACCGTCGCAATTCATCGCGAACTCTATCCCATTTGACCTTCCAAACCGCGAAATCGTTCAGCTCTCCATGCATTGATATACGTTTACATAAAATATAATTATTTAACAAGAAAATCGGTAGCTGTAAAAAGCTGTCGCCAGTCGCGTCTTCGGACATAATGCAGTTACGATTTATAAATGTTTATTGTTTACATTTCTCCGGTATGTGATTGTTCGCGACGATTGCGTCAATAATCTATTGCATCATTACCTCATATCATTAGCGGGAATCTGATTGTTGGAGTTTCTCTTATTGGTATAATGGAACAATAGTTCAGATGCCGAGACAATTCACAAGTTTTTTTTTATAATTGTCAACGTGACGTGTCATTTTTGTGACATTAAGAAGGTTCTATTTTTCAATCGAAAAAGAGGTTTAGTTTCTACGGCATAGAAGTTCGCTACGTTTGCTACGGTTCGCACGTGGTGGCGATGCGTTCATGCTTAGCTGGTCAGAAAGACGAAATTTAATCTGCCTATAATTTTTCTTTCTAGAGGGGCGGTTGAGCCCTGGTTGGAGCGAGAGAAAAGGTTCAGATTCTTACGGACTAAAAAACCACCCCTTTCCTTTTCCCGAGGCCGCGGTACTTTATTGCGTTTGGCCTGCAAGTTGCAGGCTGCAACCCCAACTGATCTGTCTGGAGCTGACGATTTGGGGGATGAGGGAGCAATCTCCCTACCGGCCACTGGCAATCACACGGCAAAACACAGCGAAGATTTGGGGTTGAGGGAGATAGGGCTACCGGCAACCTCACGCGGCAAAAACCTTACCGGTTTTCTGTCGAGCCGGTACAGATGTACCGAAGCAAAAAATACTTTGGTAAACCAAAAGGCTGATGTTATGTTGTATAATAGACACACATATTATAATACATACCGCCTTAGCATTCTCCTTGCTTCAGGGTGCGCTTGTTCAGTGGCACAGATCAGCCATTCGAGAGCTTGTTTGAAGTTAGATATTTTGTCTGCTTCTAACTCTGAAACAATTAATTCATATTTTCTTTAATTTTAATAACTAAATATAAGAATAGGGTCCTGAAGATTAAGCATCAAGCCCAAAGATGTGGTTCAAAATGTGCCTTTTGGCAATGTGACATTTTAATTGTGGCTCTTTGTGGCCGAAATGATCAAGGCATTCCTTTTGTATAAGAAAGAAATAACGATTTTTTTAAATAATCTTTCCTCCGGTACCTTCATTTGTCGTGAAAAAACGACCACCAAAACAAGAGCGGTTTTCTAAAATATGGACTCAAACTCCCTTTCAAGCAGCTGATCGTACTAAACTTTTTTTATAGAATGGGATGCAAACGAGCAGAAGTATCACCTGATGGTAAGCGATCAGCGCCTCCTATGGACATATGCAACAAAGGACTAACTGGCGCGTTGCCGTCCTTTTAAGGAGTACGATCGTTTCTTGTAGGTTCCGCACCTATTGTTTATCTATTATGTCTCCAATTACCACCTTTGAAAGGTTAAGATCAGCTGCCTTTGTTCAGCAGTAGATGTAACTCATGATAATGGTGATTGCTGATTTTATTGGTTTGGTTACCAATTCATATAGATTTGTACAGATTAGGAATTCGAGGATTGGAAGATTTGAAGATTAGAAATGGGCGGAAGGATTGGCTTTTCGAGTAACCTCACTCACATGACGAAATACAACGCAATGACTTTTATCGGAGCCCGAAACACCAATCTGGTCGAGCTGGCCAGCTCGCTAAAAGCAAGACTCTCGGCATACATTCACTTAGAATCATGAAATTAATTTTGTTTATTTATTTATTTATTACACTTACACTTCGTTTTATCACTCAGCATATGCATGGGCATAATACCTTTGACCTTCTCTAAGTGAGATCTGACCATTTATCAAATACATACAGTAAAAAAACATCAGAAAAGAAATGGTTTTCGAAAAAATACCTAATATTTTTTTTACAATTGCAACAAAAGTGGCAGGTTTTTTGTAGAACAATATAATTTGTATGTTAACTCAAATATAATAATATGCAACACAGGTGTTAGCAAATTGTTGATTACCTACTTAATACAAAACTAACCTCATTTCATGGTTATTTTATTTAAAAAATATGTGCAAATTAATGCCCCAGTTCCTCAATTTTAGTAAACCTAGTAAATAATTTTTTATTTTCCAATGTTGTGATAAAAGTAGGTAATATATGATTTTTCTATAGTTCTTCGTCATCATCATCAGCCTATAAGTGCCCACAGCTGAGCAAAGGCCTCTTCTCATACAGAGAAGGTTTGAGCATTAATTACCTTGTTGCTCAAGGCAGACTGGCAATTTCAAACTTATAATTAGAAATAATAAATCCAGATTTCCTCACGATAGTTCCCTTCGCCATATCTATGGTGTCTTAGAAGGTAAATAAATATGACTTGGAAAATGTCACATTGGTACTTGCCAGGTTTCGAATCCACCTCATGCATGAGAAGCAAGTGCCTAAATCTTCAGGCCACTATGACGTGATATACACTGCTAAGTTTTGATCATTTTAAAGCCTTGGAGGGATGATCCAGAACATGCAACACTATCAATTTGTCAAGCTAAACATAAAAGACTTTTTTCCAAAACTGTATCTTGAAACAGGTTAATCACATTAATTCAGGTTTTATCTCATAGAAATAGTAGGCTGGCTTCCTAGTAAATTTTTCATAATTTAGCCAAAATCCCCTCATATCTGATTTAAGAGAGGAATAAATTGTATCAATGCCCCTTTTTCTGTGACTTCAGATACCTTGAAAAGGATTACCTTCTAAAAATGTACCTTTAGGGGGAAATTTTAATCGTTAGTATCCATATAAGTTGTGACTTACCACATTTTTCTTCCAAAAGTTGTTTAGCAAGGACAACTTGTGACTCAGCGCAGCCATCTTCAGCGAGTTGGTTCCTCAGTCTTCTCAGAGATCCTTGTGGTCCATCTGAAGCAAGGAAACCCTCAGAAAGTATAACTACTAAAGCAACTACAAGCAACATAAGATATTTAAGACTTGAAAAATGGGGATACAGAAAATTAATAGTTGTATCCAACTGATATGAGCTATTTAAATCAATAGTACATTATTAGATGAATAATTTAATTATGTTTGGCCTTATGATAGTATCAAATAAAATAATTTATAATATTGACTCCGATCTATACAGAGAACCTAGAAACACCTATCTAAAAGAAATTATTTTTCATTACAAAATAACACAATTAAATAAAAAAAATTGATCATTCTTATTTACAGCTGACCTTTACCATACAGGTTATATAGTGGCAAAGGAACTAAGTAATTAGGTGGCTGCCAATTAGGTGATTAGAACTTAATCGATTTTATTGAACAATTTCCAGGCCTACATACAATGTCACTCCTTCACATTTCCATTAAATTACCAACTAAAACTACGTAAAATTATCTAACTCATACTATAAACGCTAAGGTTTCTATTATGGATTTCTTTCACGTAAAACTACTAGATGGATTTTAATGCAAAGTGACACAGAGATTAAATTCAATATAGGTAGTTTGGAATAACGAACAGGCCAATTTTCATCTTTTCACCGGCGAAGCCACTGGCAGAAACTAGTACAGAAAAATAAGGACTAAAATTGTAAAACCTTCCGACTTACCATGTAGGTTCCAACGTTTCCGACCGACTGGCATTACTTAATGAATTCACGAATAATATCCACACATAAATTATATTCAAATGCGGTAAACTGTTTAAAAAATAAAAATAATATTTTAGACACCAACACTTCTCTGTAGTTTTTGTTTTGATTATTTACAATACAACTTTACATTGGTTCGCCAATTTTTTTCATTTGATTTTGTCAATATGTCAATGTCATTTGCTACTGAATGACAACAAATCGCATTATTGCAATATACAAACACAATACTAATAAAATATACAAAATTAAATATAGCACACAATTACGGAAAAAAGTATTTATTGTAATAACTACATGTGATTACGACATTAAAATTCATCTAATTTAACTAGCAGGTCATTCCAATATCTTTAATGAATGGAAAGTAAATTGACACGAAATCTGCCCACGCCACTAACCCACGTATTCTACCCACGCAGAGGTACAGGATTTCTTTTCCCTAAATTAGAACTGTTTTAAACAAGGATGTCCTGTGAAAATTAAAATAGCAGCGGACTGAAAATAAACATCAATTTATTTTTGAACTTCCTCCCCTCTACATCTAAAACCATGCTCAAGCCTAGCATTCGTGTCAATTATACAAATTGTTTTGTTTTCAATTAATAATCAATTATATTGACACTAATCACTAAACTCTACATTAAATGTTTTACCAGGAAAATACTGTATAGCTTTGTAATGAGGTTCTTATTTTTTAATAGACGTATTATTATTTTTTTACGTAAAACGAAATGCATGATAAAAATATACTATTATAGCATGTAGTGTTGTATATCGAACTGTAATTTTTCGAACTACTAGCAGTAGATTTTATGGGGGATTCCAATAAATATGATACAATCATTTAAAAATATCTTATAATATACAAAATATCATTTACTTTGACAAAACTTAGGTATCTTCTATACTAATATTATAAAGATATAAAATTTGTAAGTTTGTATGTAGGGGTAATCTTTGTAACCGCTGGCCGAATTGCCAAAATTCTTTCATTGTTATATAGCTACAATGTTCCTTAGTGCCATAGGCTATAAAACATCACGCTACGATCAAATGGAGCCGAGCAGCGGGTGAAACCGCGCGAGAATAGCTAGACTGTCATAATTATGAGTAGCAGGGGACTCTTATCTATGAGTCTTGCCATTAAAGTAGTTTAGGCTTAAAGAAAAGACAGACAGGCACACAGAGTTACTTTCGTATTTATAATATTAGTTTGGATAGTTTGGGTTTGAATAATCAATACAAAATATTATGCTTATACGCTACAAAGGTTCCGTTTTTCAGAAACGTTAATAATACGTCACTCTAAAGTGCACATTCGTTATACAGTTACATACATGTGTCCCTTCCTGGCCTAAGGACCAAAATTAAATCAAACAAGGGCGCTGAGAAGGAGGTAATACCAATAATACTATACAATTGTCGTTTCATTCATCATTAAACTTTGCCGAATATAACATAAAACTATTAAAGTATATTTTTTTTCTAGACTGTGCAAGAATAGTAATTTCTTATCATGATAATCATACACCAAGAGCATGTATTTTTTTTAAAAAAAACCTTAAATTTTTCTCCTTTATGTTCTTTTTCGATTTATCCATATTTCTGGGGACATTAGTATATTTCTGCGTTTATGTTACTTAATACCTACATTTCTACTGGGTATAAAACCGGGGTAAAATCAGCTAAAAAAAGTGGCAACACAGAGTATGAGCAATACTGTATCCTTTGGCTTAAAGTACTTGTACCCAGGCCATAAACTCCAAAAAAAAAGCACTGTATCCATCTGTCAGTGTCAAAAGTTAAAAACGCACGCAGTGCTGTGCGCAATTTCGGTGGAAGTATATTGTTATTTTAATTCAATTAAAATAGCGACTATTACGGGTGTTATTCTACTTATTAGTAAAATATCGTACCAAATAATTAATGTTAGTGTGAAAGCATAATGTTGACCCCACGCTTCAAGTTAACTCAGGACGAGAATCACGTCTTTATAACCGTGCACGCTCCGTACACAAACATCGGCGACACAGAAATAGATGTGGATGGCGAACATTTTCTGTTTGTCTCTAGTCCGTACTTCTTGCGACTACGTCTGCCTGGCCGGATTGTCGATAATGATAGCTCTAAAGGCTCATACATTTGCGATTCAGGCGACTTCAATTTAACCTTTGACAAAGAAACCCCAGGCGAAAATTTTGAAAACTTGGACATGATCACAAGCCTGCTTGCTCCTAAGGATATACCAGATATGAATCCTAATCTAGTAGAAATGTTAGAAGAAGACGGAATCACTCTAGAAAACGAAAACAATGAAATTATTGACTACAGTAACAAGTATTCATATGGATTCGCTAATAAATTAACAACTGAGTTTAGCAACATTGGATCCGAGTTTCCGCAAATATTTGAGTTACGAGTTCCTGAAAATGTCTCTATTGAAGAAAGAACAGCTAAAAGAATCAAACATGAGAATGATAAGTTTTCCTCCGACCACTATTTAGCTGATTTCTATGATGAAGAACTTTTAGAACCGTTTCTAACAGGTACAGTGTCATGGAATGAACCAAATTTCAACAAAGAGATTGAATTTACTGATGATGAACTGGGTGTGTTGAAAGAGCTACCAAATAAAAACTTTTTGTTGAGTAAAACTGAGTATGAAGAAGTTCTCTATGGATTAGTGGATATATTGTATGCTTATTGCTATGACAAACGAAGTACTTTGAATGAGAGTACAGTGGAATCAGGGTGGACTATAAATAAATTGTCAGCAACCCTGAGCTGGTTCTGTACATTTAGAGACATGAAGGAGGTCCTCACCACCTGTTATAGACGAGCTTTAATATACCCCATATTCAGAAACTATGATCTATGCATTAAAGTAAAAAATGACCTTGTATCTCTCTTCAAACTGGGGAAGAAATTCATAGTAAAATGTATGATTGAAATACACCAATTATTTAATGCAAGCAATGATGCAAGATACATTTTAAATCAATTATACATAAGGGATTATCTGATATTCCTACAAAAATGTAGGAATGAGGAGTTGGATGAACTTTGCAACAATATTGCAAATATTGAAATATCGAAAGATGATTTAGAACTGGACATTGTGGAGTTAGAAGAAGCTGCGGAGTTAGTGAAACAAGAGGAGGTTGATAGCATTGTGGAAAATGAAGTTGCCGTGAAGATGGCATCCATGTCCTTGCTAACAGGTTTACATCGAACAAATCCTGTGTATATTGAGGGAGAAAGTGATGAATCTGATTCAAGCGATTCATCGGACTCTTCGGATTCCTCCGATGATTCTTCGGATGAGTTGGACTCCGATGATGATCCCTCTTGACAAAGATATGGCTTGTAGCAATCAAGCAGCAAAGGCTTGTGAACAATTGAGACTGATAGCTTAAGATGAGCAAGTAATTCGGAGATCAGTAGTACGGACAGAATAATAATTTGTGTATGTGAATTAAAGTGAATCTCAATGCAAATGTTTCTCAAGCCGGGACTTTTAGTGTCATAAGAAAAGACAATTTAAATATTGTAAGTGTTTCTGCATTTAATCTTTCACTATTATGCGTAGCTTCTGAATAAATGTGATCAAATATAATCTACATAATCATATCAGCTGAATGTAATACTTAATCAATAAAGATTTACTAGCTAATAAAATAAACTATAATTTATATTTTTCATCTATCAAACAATACCCACAATTTGTCCACTGTTAAACATAGGTTAACTTTAATAATTTATAGGTTGGTGGTGCATAAATGGCATGAATTTATCATATTACTCTCTGAAAACTTTACAAGTTCCACCTTGTGAGTTTCTGCGTTGCGTTTGCTGGTACGCTCTATTAAAAAACCCGCTGCTATAGCTAGCTCATCGGTTGACTATCAGCGACGTTACTTTGTATACCTCGATTCTTCATAAAATTTAATGATAAAAATCGCTTAATCTACAGATCTAGTTATCAACATGCCTCATTTCATACGTAGATATACTTATTGTTTGAATTTTTTTTTTTAGAATTAGGGATTGGGGAGGAATTTTTAAAGAATAATAGATAACTTCAGTAACAAACAGGATTATGGTTCTGCCTCCGTCTTCACAGAGTTCCACTCGAAGGGTACTTTTTTCCCGCCCAGGGTACGGCGAGAGAGGGTGTAATGAGGCACCGCGGCCTCGGCCTAGATCAGGAGACAAAACTGCAGGTTTTTCCAGTAAAAGTCTGACACTGACACTCCCTCCCGCCCAACAATGGGCGGAAAAACTCATTGATGATGTTGCGCTCGCTTACAGGTAGTTAGATGCACCAGTCCCTTCTGCCGGCCTTGAATTACCTACGTGCCTTTCGGTGCTAGGTACGCGAAGTTGATATAATGAAGTCAAGACTATGGAGTCGTGTTCGCGAACACGTGATTATCTCTTAGATATGATGCATAGAATCTAATGTTATTTTAAGTAAAATAACCAGTATACTCATCAAATTTTATTTAGTTTTTTATAAATAATTATAGTTTACCTATAGTACCTACCTAACTACTACCTATAAGTACTTATTATAGGGATAAGTATTAGATAAGAAACTTATACAGTAGGTGAGTAGGTAGGTATAAAAGGTACCTCGCACCAATGACGATATAACCACGTGGTTATATCCTCTTTGCCTCGCACAAATCATGATAGCATGTTGTGGCGTGGTTTTGCGCTGGTTTTTTGTGATATAACTACGGTCAAGCCGGCCAAATTCGGCCGAAACGTGACTCTCCCACACATTTAAGTTTTTTCTTACAGTACTGTAACGTTGAAAACAAATTCTTTTTTTTCTCAATCTTACGTTAACTTTCTTCCAAAAAGATATGATTAAAACTTATTGTTGATAATATTCTGTCTCAAGCATTCACCTTCGATAATTTGGCAAACTGTCTCCGTAAATATACCCCCCATAAACTCTATAGGCTTCCCAACCGAAGCTGTAATAAGTGGGGATCGATACATCGTGCCATGGTATTGGGGCTGCCCACTTCGTGTCCTCGAATCTATCGTCTAGCCACGCGCATTCACTTAACCCTAAGAATGCGTCATACAAGAAGTCAAGAACTGGATGTGTATCTAGTACAGTGAAATAATGAGTTGTTTGCATCGCTCTAAGTTTCAGGGAAAAAGAGCACATGCCTGCCAAGCCGTCATTACGTTTCGATTTTCCCTCCATCATCATATGCATGGCGCCACCCGAATCAAATCCAAGCCTGCCCCAATATTCTCCCATTATGCAGTGGTACCAGTGCCAATCGCTCTAGAAATAAAAAAAGATTTAATTATAACATTACAACACAACAACATTAATTATACCTAGATACTTATATTATTTCAGCCAATAACACATTAGGTGACCAGACTGCTTGTTTGCAACCCAATAAAGAAGTAGTTACCTTTGGACAAGGCCAAACGTAGGATTTTGTGCGAACACCGTATTTATACCAAGGCATAGGTCGACGATGATATGCCTTCATAAATTGAAATCCAACGACGACTGATAGATCAAAAGCTCGAGGTATCGTTGAAGCGTACTCACTCCTGGAATCATTCGGCAATTTAAAGTCTAACCATTTATCACAACAAAAATATTATTTAAGTACAAATTAATTTCAAATTCATCAAAAAAAACTTAAATAATCAGTAAGTGACATGTGTTCTCGTTCCAAATTGTAGATTTCATGGAGAGAGAGATGGAGAAACTTAAGAGTAGCTCTGCTTTTATGGAAGTGTTCAACTTCAGATTGGAGCGAAAAGGACTTTCATTCTCTTACTAACTAAAAACCACTCCCTTCAAGTGCGTTTCTTCTCGCACTCCTACCCGAGACTTAGTTCTGAGAGCACGGCACGTATGTCCGTGTCTAGTTCTGGTGGCGAGGTAACCTTGCTTCTCCCCTTCGCCCCTTAGACTCCTTAGAGTTCATCCCGCCACGCGCTCATCTGGCGTGACGGCGGATTTTTGCCCCGACGACCCAAGAAGGCCCTCAACTTACCACCCTGAAGCCGCTCTAGGACATATCACTGCACCCGACAAATAATACCATTCACCATAAAACCGATGAGTGGCAGCCCACAGAGAGAGGTCATACATCACTGGAATTGGGTGTGATACATTCACTTCGTAGTCATATTTATACTGTAACCAAAAAACGCAATTAAAAATTTCAAAGCACCCATTCAAAACGCTATAGGCATATTTTTTAAAATACCGTATGGTTTTATTCAACTTAAATTTCAAAATGTCACTAGACTACAGGGTTAGTTTGCGTGCGCGAAATAATTATATATTTGAAACAGAAGGTTTAAATCAAAAAATAAAAAACCGGGGACATATTTTTTTAAAGTACTTACGTATCAACGAAAAAAAAAACTCATAGTTACCATTGGATGAATGTGTATTCTTGCCGGTACAAAGAACATAGAGCTGTTGTATACATTAGCATTGGTGTCGTACCACCCACCCAAAATTGATTCGAACGTTAACATGTGGCCGTACGATCTTAATATCAGTACTGTAGGGTTTGCAGTGGTGAGGATGTGTCGTGTGGTGATCACCGCACAACCAGAGAGTAGGTTATGCCTTCTGTATGTCGTACAACAGTAACAGCCCAAGTTGTTAGCATTTTCCTGAACAAAAATGTAGAGGTAAGCATCTTATTACGTCGACCAGATTTGGTAAACCATACTTATTAAATATCGATCACTAATACCAATCATCCTATATTATATTGTTTAAAGTAATTATTTAAAGCTGTAAATTTTAGGATTGTCAAGCACACACTGAAAAACCCCACAGGCGTAAACAGCAGTCTATATATTAGAGGATATGGAGGTTGGTGGAGATAAAAAGTTACGTCGAAATTCAGTTACTTTTAGAAAATTTGAGTTATGGACATTTACGTAATTGTATTTACAAGTACCTTCATATGTATTTATAGCGGTTAGGCCTTTAGGGATTAAAACCCGGAAATATATCGCTCCTTTAATCATAAAACGAAATAACTCAAAATTCAATTTTTTTGGGAAAACTCATTTAAAGTTTGTCATGTTTACCATTGTGGCTTTAATTAACCACAAAAAAATAAAAAAATGGTTTAGGTCAATTTCAAAAGTAGATATAGTTAGCCTAATTAATAAACTACAAGATCATTAAAAAAAAAACATTTTTTGTATCAGGAAGACAATTAAATCAAGAATGCAAAAATAAGTTCGTAGTTAATTCACTTTACAATAAAATATTGTAATCAAATAATTATCATACAGTCGGGGTAACTGTAAGTGTAACAGTTTTTTATTAAAATAATCTTGCAAGTAGACGAAGTATTTCGATTTAGTGCATTGTTTAACTAAGAAGCATTAACTGTCTGAAAAATATTCCTAATTGTTTCTGTGTTAGTTTTAATTTACAAATAAAATGTATGGATTTCTTAGTAAAAAAAAGACATTTTTGTTTATTTCTTCTTTTTATTCACGAAAATCAAGAAATTGTAATCAATCAATAAGTACCTACTACTTATAGCAAAAAAAAAACTAAATAACAATAATGACATTGATGACATTGTCATAAGACATAGATTATATAAGTCACAATCTAAAGTTCTTTCACGAAATTAACAAAATACAAAAAAAATATTAAAAATCAAAAACTGTATTAATAATCAGACTTCAATTCTGACTGTATCAATATTCAGACTCTTTTGTTTTTATTATCAGCAAAAATCAACTAAAATTGAGATCAAATCTTAATCAAAACACCTTATAAATTATTAACTTAAAATATCGAATTATAAAATCCTGCATAAAAAGAAGGGATCAGAGCTTTTGTGATAAGCTCCTTTAAATCTTTTTTTTTATTCGCACTAATCTCCAGTTTCTTGGAATAGGCTTGCTGTAGTGATATTTCTGTTAGTGCTTTCATTTGTTTTCTTTTATTTCTAACATCAACTTCCTGGTAGTTTACTTGCTTATAAGACGTTTTATAGAAAAATACGGTAGGGTTTTGTTTGCAAATTTTTAAAATTTTTATTTCGTTCCAGTTGACATTCTGTCCATCACTATTTGTTGTAAAATTATAACCCCATTCTTCCTGTAAAATTTTAAAATCATAAAATGATTCATAATTCATTTCATGCACCATCAATGGAGGTTTCGATTTTTTTGCATTCTTTATAAGAGGTATGTACTGTTCGGGTGTATAAATAGGACCAGATTTTAAATTCTTCTTTACCTCCCTCTCGATGAGGCTATGGACGCTATCAGCCTCGTTTTGTGTATGACCCCGTATTAGAAATTTATGTTTTATAGTTTTTATGTTTAATGTTTGAACTGCATATAAATACAGTGAAGTAATGTATTTATTTTTGTTCTGCCCGCAGCAGTTGTCGGAATAAAATATAACTTCCTTTTCATCATCGTCTTCATCGCTTAATGCTTTCAAATATGCCCATATACATGAGCCGATCTCAATGGCGCCACGTTTT